TATAAGGCGAAAGGTGACAGATATAAATTTTGTGACCTCAGGGGGTGGCCGTAATTTAAACAAGGGGCGTAACCATGTACGTGCCTGGGTGCCCTCACCCCCCAAAGAATTTTTTTTTTTTTCAATAATTTTTTTGGTTATTTATATATTAGTTAATAAAAATTTAATATGTAGATTGACATACTCTTTTTTAGTTATTTTTTTGTTTATTATTTTTTGAGATATTTTTTTAATATGTAAATTGTAAATTTTTCTTAATTATAAAGAAATAAATACGTCTATGTTTGTGATTGTGACACACTATATGGTAATATATTGCTTCATATGACATGTAAATATGTGGGCTGCTACGTACTTGCTCTTACTTTACCAGATTGAATTAGCTTTAAATACTTTGCTTTATACGAAAATCACGTTTTGGCCACAAACCACCCGATTTCTTTATTTATTTATTTTATTTAATATTTATTTAAATATGAAAATGGCATCCAAATTCCAAAGACAACGTGTGTAAGACAACACAAAACTTGATCACGGTGCAATTAATTAATTAATTAATTAATTAATTAATTATTCCATAAACCAAATTAAATAATGAAGCCAAGATCTATGATCTGTCTTCTAACTTCTAGTGTAGTCTCACATGCTACCTTTTTTATACGCTTTTTCATAAGTTATTACTTATTATAAATAAAATAAAATAATTTAATACAATGGTAATTTATTTTTTTCAACAAAATCGAGTTGGAAGTTAATTAATGTTTTCTTTTTCAATATTATATTATTGATTGGCCAATAACAGAATATTTCACTTGCTTTATTCTCCATTTTCACAATTTAGCAATAAAAATTATCAAACACATGAATCAAATTCATTATATATAGTTAAATCTTTATATATTAATACAATTAGGATTAACAAAATTATTTTCCATATGTTTCACAATATCTATCTCGTTTAAGAATTTTTTAATTCCATACTATCTATCAATTTACAATTTCAATGTTGCATTAATTACATATTTTTTAATTATACCCTTGTTAATTCTCCAACACTCTTTATGCATTAATTAGTAAACAATGATATTTTGGTCTATTTATACTATTTTCCTAAAATCAAGACATATTTATTAAATTTCTTAAGACTTGTGCCAATATGAAAAACGACATATATTTAAGAACGGAAGAAGTATTCATTTGACGAAATATTAAATTATCGAGGTTATACTGTATTTGGAAAATGACATGCTTAATAACACTTTTTTTTTTTTCTTGTTAAAAAATTGTAAAAGATTAACATGTTGACTAATTGCAAATTACATGGAAGGTTCGTGTAGCGGATTACACGTAAGCTCATGCGATGGCCAAGTTATTAATTTTTTTTTTCTTTCTTCATATTATTTAATTTACTTATTTATGGGGAATTATAATGCATATTGACCTAACTTTGAAGCATGGCATTTCTTTGCAAGTACTTAGCATTTCCTCCACTTTTCATTTGTTTATGTTTTTTTCCTTATATAATTATTTCATTCCATAATTTGGTTAATATAGTCAAATTTGTCAACTTAGTTCATATTAGACCAAAATATTACGAGTATTTTATTTATTATTTAAAAAATCAAATTAAAAAAAATCAGAAAGTTTTCTTTTAATTTCACCAAAACAAGAATTTAGTAAACTTTCTTTTAATTTCACTAAAAATATATGGATCCTCCACTTTTATTTTGTTTGTTTTTATGCCACGCTCGTGATTTTCAATGGATTATATCTAACAATACACGCGTATAAATTCATACATACACAATATACAGTTATACAAGTATGTGTAATAGGTAAGTACTCTCTATTTTCGTTAAATAATTTACAAACTTGCAAGAGACATAAACCACACTATAGATAAACTACAAACTCGATACTGATAAAATTCGAATTACTTTAACTCGGAAATTTACCGTTAGGTTTAAACATAATATTTAACATACCAATCGTTAAAATTATTACAATGTACAGAGCAAATTATTGCATGTTTCAACATTCACTTTGAAAACGTCAAAAGAAATTTAAAAAAAAATAATAATAATAATAATAAGAGAAAAAAAAAGACACATTTTCTTGAAAAAATCAGGGTATAAATACCGTAATTCAGACAATTCGTTGCGATTCTCGAAGAAATTTACAAGGTCCCTTGAATCTCTCTCTCTCCTCGCTCGCCCTTGCCCTTTTGGATCTCTGTCTTTAATTATCATTACACACAAAATCTAGACAGAGAAACCAAACCCAACTTCTAGAGAGAGAGAGAGAGAGAGGAGAGAGAAGGGTTTTTACTTCATTTTTCCTCACTGCAACAATGGCTTTCTTGTCTTTCCTCGGCAGACTGCTCTTCGTCTCCGTTTTCATTCTTTCGGCTTATCAAGAGTAAGAGCTTCAATGCTTCTTTCTCTCTCTAGATCTATTTTTTCATTATTTATTTATTTAATTATTAATTTTTTTTTTTGATTTTCCATTTTCAGTAGCTTGTTTGTGTAGTGGGTTTATCTTCTTGAGCTGAAATTTCAAGTAATTTTGTTCGATTTGGTCCGAGGTTGTTAGTTAGTTCATGTTTAATTAACCTGGGATTTTCGATTGGATCTATGGTTGTTTAATTAATTAATAATAATGTGAATTATTACAGATACTCTGCGCCATTTTTTGCTTCAGTGATGTTACTTCGATTTTCAGCAAGAATTTATCTTTTATTTATTTATTTATTTATTATAATTTTTTAATTGATGTTTCTTGAATAAGTCTCTTGTTATGATGATAGATAAATTAGGATTTATTTGCACTAACTTTCCGCAAAAAAATATTTGTCGACAGAAGTTTTTCGATATATAGATTAGTTAGATCCTACGCTGCATTTACCGTAAATTCTTGATTTCGATGATAAAGAACTTGTTTTTTCAAAAATTATTTATCGACAGAAGTCTTTCAATACATAAATTAGATCCTATGCTGCATTTACCGTAAAATTCTTGATTTTGATGATAAAGAATTTGTTTATTTTTTATTTTTTTGTTAACTGTGTGTCAGTTATAGTGGTTCATTTACTAAGGCCTCGTTTGGTTGGTAAGATTAACCGTGTTTAATTGAGTAATTGGACCTTATTGGATGATTAGTTAGTCCAATAACTTTTCGGGCCTGGCCGGGCCGCAGTTGTGGAAAAAATGGCTATTTCTAATTGGGAGATTACTTAATTGACCTCCTATTAGCCAACAATAATACAGTTATATTTTCGTAATTTGGGTAATCTTTTATAGGAAAATAATTAATTTTCGTATTTTGTTGTATTTGCTCGAAATTGCAATTTCACACAACACGTTCGTACCTAGGTTCAATGAATTTGGAGTAGACGGTGGGCCCGCAGCCAAGAATTTGAAATCAAAATTCAGTGTTTTCACCAAGCACGTGACGTCGCAAACCGGAATTCAAGTGCCACATGTCGATGTAAGGAGCTTCCAAACAAATATATTTTCTTCAATCGAAAAACTCGAGAAAATTTCGTGTTGATGCTTATATTTCACTTTCACTAACTTGGAGAAAAAAAAATTATACGACTTTCAGATGAAGCATTTGATATTGGGCGCCATCGTAATGAAATCCCTCGGAAGCTTCCTGTTCCTCTTCGGAAGCTCGTTTGGAGCTTCAATTCTGGTATTTGTCTTAAAATCTGAATATCCAATATATATATATAAATATATATTTATTTATTTTTATTTTTTATTTTTGTATAGTAATCATGTAAAATTTTATTAATGCAGCTTCTGCATCAAGCAATAGCAGCACCGATCTTGTACGACTTTTACAACCACGATGCTGACAAGAAAGAGTTTACCGAGCTATTTGTCAAGTTCACACAGGTGCGTTATTATTGAATTCGAAAAATGTAAAATTTAAATACGTGATCCGGTTTATTTATCGGTATTTAAATTGATTATTATATGAATTTTTGGAACAGAGTTTGGCCTTGCTTGGAGCGCTTCTCTTCTTCATCGGCATGAAGAATTCAATTCTGAGGAGATCGCCGAAGAAGAAGGCAACTAAAGCGAAAACAAACTAAAGAGGATGTCGAGTTTTAGTTGGTTTGTTTAAAATTTGCCTGATTATTATTTATTACAGGTATCGGTTTTTTTTGGTTAAGGTTGTTTCCTAGCAGCATTGCATGGTATTTTTAATTTTTTTTATTTTGGTCGTCGCGCCTTCATTTTTCGATATGTTATAACTTGGGCACGGTATACATTTCGAAATTCTTGAAATTTCAATTACACTGCAGAAATTATTTAAGCAAGAATTGGGATTTGGCCTTGATTAATATTATTAATTTTGCTTCGGAGGTGCTAATTTGATCTGATAGATTTGAAGGACTTTTTCATATGTTTTGTGTTAACGAAGAAATTCGCAGCTTGTAATATTGTGGAAATTAGAAGTGTAAGGTGAGGCGCAATTTTCGAATTTTCATTTTGGAACCATATTTTCCATTCCGAATTTCAAAAGTTGTGATTTTTTTTTGATGGGATTGGAATACATAGTAGATTCTGATTTCCGATTCAAATTTAATTGACGAAAATACTTAAGAAAATTCTTATGTTGTTTTTTTCCCGAAAATTACACTTGTAACATCAATATTATTAGGGTAAATTACGGCCACCTCTGAAGGTATGGTCAAATTACGAAAAAACCTCTCTAGTTTGGGTAATTACAATCATTCACTCAATTACGAATTTTTTTACACGTCCACCTTTATGGTGTCAAATTCAATAAAATCTTCTAAATTAAGTGGAATATTCTCTAGTTTGTACTCGTTTTGTGCATAAATGTAGTTTCTAATGCACCACAATATGATATTTATATGCCAAAAGACACATCTTATGATCATTTTGTTTCAAAATGTAAGCTTGAATGGGATAAAACGGGTACAAACCGGAGAATTTTCTACATAATCTAGAAGATTTCACTAAATTTGACACCGCAAGGGTGAACATGTAAGAAGATTCATAGTTGAGAGGTGGTTGTAATTACCAGGGGTTTTTTCGTAATTTGACCTTACCTCAGGGGTGGTCGTAATTTACCCTATATATTGTCAAATAAGTCTATTATAGGGCCCGGCCCGGTGATCAATTTGAAGTTTTATACATAAAAATCAAGAAAGGGACCTCAAATTGAAAATTGTATGGTTCATCTTTGCGGTGTATTCTGCTTCACTTCAAAAGTCAAAAGATGTTGCCTAATTTGAGTGCAACTTTTAAATGCTATCCTTCTCTCTCTCTCTCTCTCTCTCTCTCTCTCTCTAACTCGGAGAAAAATGGAGTTAGTGAGAGAAACTAAGTACGATCGTGCCGGAGAATTAAAATCTTTCGACGAAACGAAAGCAGGCGTAAAAGGCCTAGTCGACTCAGGAGTCGAAACAATCCCTAGAATATTCCGACTCCCGGAAGAATATTCCACCAACACAACAGCTCACGCAAACGAGTCGAATTATGATATTCCGGTTATCGACCTTGAAAAAGAAGGCATTGATCGAAAGGTGACAGTTGATAAAATCAGACATGCATCGGAGAAATACGGGTTTTTCCAGGTGGTGAATCATGGGATTCCTGTCGGTGTATTGGAGGAGATGCTTTGTGGGGTCCGCAGATTCAACGAGATGGACGCGGAGGCGAAGAAGGTGTATTACACGCGCGATGTGACGAGAAAGTTTGTCTACAACAGCAACTCTGATTTGTATAGTGTACCTACAGTTAATTGGAGGGATACTTTCTTATCTTTTATGGCTCCGAATCCTCCTAAGCCCGAAGAATTGCCCGCTTCGTGCAGGTACGTACGGTTAATAATTTCAAATCCATAATACCAAAGCCGTCGAATTTTGTGTGTAGAAATGAATTTTGAAATCCACTATGCACTCATCAAATAGCAAGGTGGATCTAATCTATGGCACAAAGTCGAACGTACGTTAATTTGATGGATTTGTGTGATTAAAAAAAAGTCGAGTGAGATTTGCATCTGGATTGAAGGATTTGGGCTAATAACAATTTCGAATCCGCAACACACCAAGGCCCCGTTTGGTTGCCAAGATAAGCTAAGATTAACTAAATAGTTGGAGTTAATATGATGTTTGGTATCCCCAATTAATTGCCAGGTCGACCCTCCAAAATTATGTAATCATGGCTTATCTTGTCTTCTCGTGAGTTTTTTTTGTTGGACGTCGCGAGCTCCAATAAAATAATTTTGTTTTATTAGATTATTTAATCTTATCTTGGCTAATCTTATCTTACCAACTAAACGGGACCCAAGTAGATTGAATTTGTCAAGATAAATTTATCGTGCAATGGATTTCAAATCACTACTACCTCTTATATTGAACAACTTTTTTCGAGTTATTGGTGGTGGGTTTAATTTGAAGTTTATTGCATGATTCAGTACCTCTGTGTTATAATGAATTGCTAAAATAAATATTAGTAAACAAATTATATGATGCATGTTTTAAGCACACAACCCCCTAATTCGTTCGTTTTCATGAGATTGTTTGCTAATAAAATTAATCGGGTGTTTGGCTATGCTTATAAGCTGTTCAAAATTGTTTCGTATTTTTTTCTTCAAACAATCTTAAAAAAAAAATGCTTTTGGATTGCATACCTTTTCATTTAAGATTTTATAATCAGTCAGAAAAACTTGTATGCTTATTATTCAAACCATTCAGAAACTAATTCAAAAAATAAGACGTAACCACTTATCAGATGTAAAATAATTGTAACCAAACACACTCTAAATCCTAGGGGCTACATGCAATAAATCCGTTAGTAGTTGTATTGCATAAACATAGAGAGCTATCAATATTTTCACCACCTTTATTAATTATGCAGAGATATACAAATAGAGTATTCAAGACACGTAATGAATTTGGGTTTTCGGTTATTCGGTTTGCTATCAGAGGCACTCGGGCTTGAATCGAGTCGGCTAGCGGAAATGGGATGTACCGATGGGCTAACGTTCGTGGGCCATTACTATCCAGCGTGCCCACAGCCAGAGCTGACTTTGGGTGCAACCAATCACACCGACGATGCCTTCCTCACCGTTCTCTTACAAGACCAAATCGGAGGCCTCCAAGTTTTTCTCGATAATATGTGGATTGATATTCCACCTGTGCATGGTGCTCTTGTGATTAACATTGGAGATCTGCTACAGGTTTGTCGGTTCACTTCATCTACTGTGGTAGTTTTTGCTTTGCAATTTTTTTTTTTTAAAATTTAGGAATCCATTTTCTTTAGAAACATATGAGGGTATTTTAGACACTTCCATCCTTTTTTTTGGGCAATTTTTTTTCCAAGAGCAATTTTGATATTTCGTGATTTCAATTGCCGTTTGGGTGATTTCTATGCTACACCAGGTGAAGGTGAAGGTTACACTGGGTGGATTTTTACGGCTGATCTACACACAACAATGTGGATCTGTGTGTGTTTGTGTGTATATGAATGATAATGATCTACCCGGTGTATTTCAACAGGTGTAGCATAGTATTTCCCAACATACTTCAACGGGTTGTTTTGACTATGCGTGTTTTCAAATTTTTATTTATAATTTCTTTTTTTTTTATTGTATCCCAAGGTAATTTAGACATTTCACCGTTTCTGTTAAAAATATAGAATAGACCGTTATTTTGAGGGGTAAAGACAAATTCACAAACTAAAGGAGTATTTTTGTAATTTAGCCTTATTTTAGATAGGTTTTTGTCATTTTTCAGACATACCATAATATAACATATGTACTAAGTTGTATTGATTCTTTTTTTCAGCTTATTTCGAATGACAAGTTCAAAAGCGTGGAGCACAGAGTTCTAGCGAATCGGGAAGGTCCAAGAATGTCGGTGGCATGCTTCTTTAGCACTTCTCTAATGCCATCGTCGAAGATTTACGGGCCAATAAAGGAGTTGCTATCTGAAGATAATCCTCCAAAATACAGAGAAACAACGGTAGAGGAATACGTTACGTACTCATTCAACAAAGGCCTTGATGGGATTTCCGCTTTGCTTCATTTCAAGATCTAAACTTGGCGACTGGAGATACTATGTTACAGTTTCATATTATATTTTGTATTGTAATATATCTCGTTTCAATTACTTAATTTGCCTATAAGTGTTACCACGCCTAAAGCATTTCAGCTTCGAAAAATAATAAATCTCTATATAGAATATTACGTTTGTTTTAACAAATTTAGAGTAATTTCTTGAATTCATTACTACAAAGTTCTATTACAAGCATCTTAGACACATGACTTCAAACCTCAATTGATCTCCATATATTCCTATAAGAGTTCATATGGTATAATATCTAAAGCTTTAAACTCTGCAAAGAAGAGCCATGCACCCCCTTGGTACGAACATAACTAGTATATTCGTTCATCATTACTCCGCGATACTTTGGCGGATTATCCTCCGCTAGCATCTCTTCAATAGGCCGGTACACCCTCGTGCTCCCACCCAAAGTATCTCTCCCAAAGAAGCAAGCCACCGATATTCGTGGACCTAAACGACTAGCCAAGACTCGGTGCTCCACACTCTTCAATATATCATTCGATATCAACTGAAAAAAAAAATCCACCAAAAAAAAAAAAAACCCGAACATTTTAATTTGATATATGAACAAACAAAGAATATAGATTATAATTTAATAAAAAAAATGCATGCCTAAAGAAGATCTCCGATATTAACGACTAAAGCGCCTTGTTTCGGAGGAATATCCACCCATTGATTCCGATGAAGAACTTGAAGACCACCTAAATTGTCTTGAAGAAGAATTGTCAAGAAACCATAGTCGGAATGTTTCACCGTACCTAGTGTGAGTTCGGGCTGTGGGCACGAGGGGTAGTAATGTCCTAAAAGTGCAAGTGTTTGTGCACAATCTATGTCGGTTAGGTGATTTCGATTGAGTCCAAGTGCCTCCGAGAGAAGGTTGAACAATGTGATTCCTAAGCTCATTACTCGCTTCGAGTATTCCATCACAATTTCCCTGTATAACACACACACACACACACACACACACACACACACACACACACACACACACACACACACACACACACAATTAGCCTAATATTAAGACTTTAATCATTTAACTACTTATGTAATTTATCTGCTCAACTAAACGAGGCTTAAATGTATATACTTCCTATGTTTCAAAATAAGTGCCGTTTTGGTTATATTAAGAAAAATCATAGAATGTGACTGAAATACCCTTTCCATTGACTTCGTTTCACTAATCCTCTTTTAAAACAAATTGAGAAAATGGTAATTACTACATCATCATGGAATTCTAAAGTGATAAAATGCGACACAAGAAAAATTCTCCAAAAGCGAGTTTTAAGGAAAAAAATACAATTGGACTAAAATACCCTTCCCATTGATTTTTTTCCACTAATTCTTTGTCAACTAACCAAGTGTGATAAAAGAGAAAATTTGAGAAAATAGTAACTAATGCATCAGTGTAAAATTCTAAAATGACAAATAATACGAAAGGACGACAAAATTCTCCAAAGCGACATTTAATTCGAAATCAAACATGGAGGGCATTTTGGTAATTTTACCTGCAAACAGAAGGCAACTCCTCCGGCAGCGGCGGATCAGGAGCCAGAATACAGTTAAACGAGTCCCTCCAACTAGCTGCCGGCGAGCTAAACAAATCGAAGTTACTATTATAAATCATCTTCCTCGTAAAATCTCTCGAATAGTACAACTTCTTCGCCTCCGTCTCTTGCTCGTGGAACCGACGAACCCCATTCAGCATCTCGTCAAGAATCTCCATCGGGATACCATGATTCACCACTTGGAAGAATCCCCATTTCTTCGATGCATCCAGTATCTTGTCTATGATTCCTTTATCTTTGACGGGATCTTCTTCGATTAATCCGATAAGGTCTATTACCGGAATATCGAACTGAGTGGCGGTGGTGCTCTTTTTGTCTGAATTTTTTTCGGGTGCGTGAATGAATATTCTCGGGAGAGTGGCGACGCCGGCGTCGACGAGACCTTTGACGCCGGCTTTTGTTTCGTCGAAGGCTTTTTGTTCGGTTTTCCGATCGTAGTTTTCTTCGTCGGAATCGGGAAACACCATGTTTTTTTTTTTTTTTTTTTTTTTTTTTTTGGGTGTGTGTGGTTGATTTGAGTGATTGTTGCATGATAATAAAATGGAAAAAAAATTAAATATGTATCCACATTTAAGAAAATATGGAGAAATTGGGATTGATGGATGAAGTTGAACCACATATATTGAAGGCCAGTGCCCCCACCTACACCATTGAGGAGTAGGAGTGGGCACCAACAAGTAGTATCAAACATTTGTGGACAAATTAGGGCCACCTCTCAGTTATTGTCAAATTACGAAAACACCAATTATGTTTGGGTAATTACAGTCACTCCTTCAACTATGTATCATCTTACGAAAATACTCCTCCAGAGATAAATTCAGGGATGTTAAATCGGTAAAAACGAATCAAAATTTCGGTAAGTACAACATCTCATACCGTTTACCGAATTGAATATAACCGAACCGAAAATTCGGTAAGTACAATATTTCTAACCGTTTACCGAATTGAATATACGATTTGGTTCGGCAAATAACCGAATTACATAAATTTGGGGTAAAAATATTTCAAAGGAGGGGGTGACTGTAATTACCCAAACAAGAGGGTTTTTTTCGTAATTTGACCATACCTCGGGGGTGGCCGTAATTTGCACAACATTTGTAGGTACACAAAATATTGTATTGTTTGTATTTGTGTGGTAATTTTTTTTTTTTTATCTAAATTTTCGAAAGAGCGTGCTAGCAAGTGATTACTCTAATATTTTTCTTTTTTTTTTCTTTTTTTTTTCTATCTTTTTTATGAACACCACCCAAAATTTCTCCCTCTCCCTCCCCCGGTGGTTCTCTATCTTTTTCTTCTTCTTCTCCATGGCCGGCGACCACCAAACCAATTCTCTCCCTCTCGGTGGTGGTACTCTTCTCTCTATCTTTCTTTTTCTATTTTTTTCTATGAACACCACCCGAATTTTCTCCCTCCCCCGGTGGTGCATCTTCTCTATCTCTTTCTTCTTCTTCTTCCTCTTTTCTTCTCCATGGTCTAAAACCTAGCCGCCGCCTCTTCTCTTCTCCATGGCCGGCGAAGACCACCCAATCTTCTTCTCACCTCTCTCATCTCTTCTCTCTATCTCGATAAAAAAAAAAAAAGTTGCTTATTTTTCTCTCACCCGTTTATTATTATTATTATCGTTATTTTTAAATTGGGCAGATATTTCCACAGAGAGATTCTCTAGCGTTGTGTTTCGCTGTTTCTGTCCAGTCTTCACTTTTGAAGTTTATTCGTTCCGACTGCGGGAGCGTGCTAGCAAGTGATTGTCCAGTCTTCACGTTCGTCACACGTTTCGACTGCGGGGGTGTGTTAGAGAATATTATATTATAGAACTCTTGTAATATTAGGATTCTAGTATGATTCGGTTACCTAGATTAGTTAGGATTTAGTTACCTAGTCAAACTCTATTACCTTGCAATATCTCTATATATATTCCATGTAATCAACCCATAACACAATGGGGGTTTCTATTATATTACGTATTATTATTTCTCCCTTTCTCCTATTCTATTCTTCCTATATATAGTTACATGTAGGAAACCCTAACCTACTACACAAGGTAATCTAATATACAAGGTAACCTAATGTATAAGGTAACTATAATAAATAATAATAATAATTAATAATAATATACGCTAATACACCCCCGCAGTCGAAACGGGAAAGGAGAGAACGTGGAGACTGGAAACAAACTGTTGGAACAGTTGAGTGGGGAGACCTTTCGTGAAGATATCAGCAAACTGGTAGGCGGATGGGACGTGAAGAACTCGGACGTGTCCCAAAGCAACTTTGTCTCGGACAAAGTGTATATCGATCTCCACATGTTTCGTACGAGAGTGTTGAATGGGATTGCTGGATAGGTAGACGGCACTAACGTTGTCACAGTAGACAATGGTGGCTTTCGGAAGTGGGCAGAGCAACTCGGAAAGTAGGTTGCGTAACCAAGTCGTTTCGGCAACGGCATTTGCGACAGCTCGGTATTCGGCCTCCGCACTCGATCGAGAAGTAGTGACCTGTCGTTTGGAGGACCAAGAGATGAGGTTGTTGCCGAGGAAAACACAATAGCCCGATGTCGAACGACGAGTGTCAGGGCAGCCACCCCAATCGGCGTCGGAGTAGGCGATAAGGGAGAGGTCCGGATTGGGGGAGAGCTGAAGGCCGTGATCAAGGGTCCCACGGATGTAGCGAAGGATACGCTTGAGAGCAGCCATATGAGGTTCCCTCGGATCATGCATGAATAGGCATATTTGTTGCACAGCATAGCAGATGTCAGGACGAGTAAACGTGAGGTATTGCAGTGCACCGGCAAGGCTGCGATAAAGAGTGGGGTCAGCAACGGGGGGTCCAGTGGTTGAGGACAACTTGCTCTTTGTGTCAGCTGGCGTAAGACAAGGGTTGCAGGAGGCCATGTGTGCACGCTCTAGTATCTCGTCAGCGTACTTGCGTTGAGAGAGAAACAGCCCATTCGACGAGCGAGTGACTGAGATGCCGAGAAAGTAGTGAAGATCGCCAAGATCCTTCATTGCGAACTCTTGAGTAAGGGCAGCGATGATAGAACGTAGCAATTCAGGTGTGGAGGCCGTGAGTACAATGTCATCGACATACAGCAGAAGGTAGGCGCATGAACTGTTGCGACAGTCGCGTGAACTGTTGCGACAGTCGCGGGAACTGTTGCGGCAGTACACAAAGAGTGAAGTGTCGGACTTGCATTCTCTGAACCCCATGCTAGTAATGTGAGATGCAAAACGCTTGTACCAAGCACGTGGTGCCTGCTTGAGGCCGTAGAGTGCTTTGTTGAGACGACACACGTGAGTGGGGCGAGATGGATCGACGAATCCGGGAGGTTGCTCGCAGTAGACAGTTTCAGAGAGATTGCCATGTAAGAAGGCATTTTTCACGTCAAGTTGGTGGATAGGCCATGATCGCGAGAGAGCAATACTGAGAACTGTTCGAACAGTTGCTGGTTTGACCACCGGACTGAATGTTTCATCAAAATCAATGCCAGGGC